CAAAATAATATTTCATGATTAGAAATATTATTTATTACTGTATGAATTATGAAAAACAAGAGAAACAAAAAAATGACAACTATAAATTGCATAATTTCATTCATAAATCAAGCTACATGACTTTTTGGATAATTTCATTTTTCTCATGTAAATCAAAAATTCTAAATGACTTTTCCCATATAAATCAGGAATTCTATCAATCGAATAGATATACTTATTACCATGAATATTTCTCCAATGTCTTAACAAACTTCCTTTACTAGAGTAAGTTTGTTTACAAAGATGACAAGGAAATCCAAGTCCATAGTGATATGCTTCGTGCCTAGATATCATATTATCATAATATTGGTTATTACAAATAGAACAGGTTGTTAGCCCATGGTCGGCATTAATGTGTATTTTTCGATTTGTGGTAGTAGAAAATCGTTTATCACATTGAAAACACTGAAAGGGTACTACACTATTAAAATGTCTACGCATCATATGTTCATCAAATTTTTTACATGTATTTAGAATCTCATTACAACAACGACACTTTATCTGCATTGGTAAAGCAATAAATCGTTTTCCTTCATTAACGGAACACTGATGCTCATTCCATGTGACAATATCAGGAAAACTAATCTTACAGTATCCACATAACAACTTTGAACTATGATGATGTTTATTAGTATGAATCTTAAGAGCTCTTCTGGTATAAAATTTAGAACCGCATACACAAATATTATATTTTCTAGCAAAATTTACTTTAATATCATTAGATTTTTTACAGTTACTTCTCGTAAGAAGTACTTCCTTTTCCTTTAAAAATTTTGAGTTAACATTATTTTTATAAAATTCATCATTTGGTTCTATTTTTATTGCTTGTTCGCATAAATTATTTCCCACTTCGTTCATGGAACTAGAAATATCATCATTATAGGAATTGGTTTGTGAATCTTCTTCAATGTCAATATCAATATTTTCATCCGCAGATTGAATTTTCAATATACTGTGCTTTTTGCTGTATTTAGATAATTCTAGAATTTCATGTGAATCATCTTTCTGTAACTCTATTTGATTATTATCTTTAAAAGTATTTGATGATGCACAAAAATTTTTTGAATCCTGTAATCTATCTTCGTTTTTATTATCTTTATCGATAATTTCATAAGAATTATTCCTTTTCTTTATTGTTATACTAATTCCCATTCCAGAATTTTTATTTCGTGAGATATCTTGATTCTTTTTAATTATATTATTTTCTACTATTGGTTGATTTGCATCAACTAAAGTACATATTCTTTTATGCATAAACAATGTATGAGGATTACGAAATGTTCTTCCACAAGAACAGATATTTTTATCATCACCTGTTACATTTTTTCTTTCGTAACATTTTATATTTGATATCTTATTATCCTTGTTCTCACCTTGAACAATTTCCTCTGATCTTCCTTTATTTTTAAATAAATTTGAATTATTTTTATTACTGCAATTATTTGTATTCTCATTGGACGTATCAATTGAAATTAATTTTGATTTTGAGTAAGGAGAATTATAATAATTATGTCTGCTTCTAGATAAATGGAAATTTTCTTTCGTTTCTCCGCGAATGCGATGAATACGTACATGTCTATAAAAGCTACCTAGTGTATAAAGACCAAGGCAAATGTCACATTGGCGAGTACCTGATCGTATATAGTGCTGCGTACATTGTCTTTTGTTTTGAATATTATAATCTTTTTCAACAATATTATGAGTGTTATGTTCTTTTTGAACAATTTCACCCGAAGTTTCATTTTCATCATTAAAAAGTCTTCTTTTTAATTTATTACTTTTAAAATTAGTATACGTGTCGTTTAAATTTTTTAACATAAAATCAGGTGATTCAATTTTATGATAATCAATTAAGTGTTTCTTTATATCCTTTACAAATTGTTTACACAATGTACATGTTGATGAAATTGCAGAATGCTGTATAGAGTTTACTTTGTCAGTTTGTTTTACTTCTTTAATTAATTTTTTTTCCTCACTTTTCATAGTACCATTGATATTAATATCATTATTACTGCATATCAGACGATTAGTAAATTTGCTTCCTTTTAAAGAAAGATCTGAGACAATAATATTACTACTCGATGATGATACATGATGCGATGAAGCTACAGTAAGTTGTTTATTTTCACCTTTTTTTAATGAAACTTTTTCAGAATTATCCTCTTCTTTTTCAGCAACATTTAACTCTTTTTCTTTCTCTTTGTCAATACTTTTGTACCGTCTTGGTGCAATATAAATGCCATGTATTCTTTCTGAATGATACCTTAACCTTCGATTTTCAGTATACTGCTTTCCACATATAGTACAATGAAATAACTTCTTTTTAGATTTCACAGAAAATTTAAAATTTGGTAACTCAGTATTATTGTTACCTAATACTGGTTCATATTCAATATATAATGGTTTTGAAGTTTTTGTTTCTGATAATAATGCATTAGATGTGTCAATCTTAGTTGTACCTTGTACATTTTTTATTACTTTTAATGTTTCCCATATTTTATCACATCTTTCAAGCAAAATAACAGGATCCTTTAATTTGTGTGGTGTAATCAAAGGAATTGACGTTATTTCTTCCTCTTGAAATTCCTCCTGAAAGATACATGTTCATGTATTATGATCTATATTAAAATTAAAAAAGATATACAAGATTTTATTTCTTTAATTTTATATTTAAATAAAATTTATGCTGTTACAATATATGTTAAAGAGCGCAATTTAATATTTTTCTTTATTTATTACAATGTCACATTGACTATAATTTATAAATAATTTCATTGTTATTATAAGTTAATATATTGAGATACTTACTTATACCTTACTTATAAGATATTATAAATAAACGTTAAATAATACTTGAACCTACAACAATAACGATCATATCTATAGTAAATTCATTAAATCAAAAATCTTGACACTACGTAAAAATATCGTATCCACATCGTATTCAATTCAAAATTCCCGCCATAAACTAGTTAAAACACAAATTATTTATTCTCTCTTATATTATATAAAAACAACAAAATATGAACTTCAAATATGAAACATATAAATATAAACTTTTTAATAAAATTCAATAAACTCTTAATAATGGAAAATTATTTTTGTCTAACAACACACATAGAGAATTAATTGTACATAAAAATATCAAATTAAAAAAAGAAAAACACTTGGGTTATATATTTAGAAAAGTACATAAATATACTGTACATATTGGTAATTATGGACTTACCACATTCATTGTATCTTCAATTGAATCAGTTGTACTAGGGTATATAGGTTCTATTTTAGGTATAGATATTAGTATTGGTTTATGGTCAAATTCTTCAATAATTTCATTTTGTATACAATGTTCATCTTTTTGTCCGTTATCAAACATTTTAGTCAAGAGAGATATTAAAACCTAAACAAAATTTTAGAAGTTGATAAATTCTGAATAGTCATGCAAACCGAGCGAAACGAACCGACATTTTGTTTCCCTTTCCATCGTTTTCGATGCTCATGATCATTTCTACAACTGAGAATTATTGTTTTTTAATATTATTTAACAATACTAAATATATTATAATATTTGTATCAAACAATTAATGATACGTACTTAGACTAATCTAATAGATCATAAAAGTTACTGAATTATTTTATTTGAATATCTTTATTAACCATATAATTATCTTAAAATCATCTTAAAGTAATAATGTATTTGATATACAAATCACTTATATCACTATATCACAATACTTAATATTTATACAGACTTGACGTGCACGTTTAAATAAAAGTTTTAAAACATAAAATTTAAAACAAAACGTGTATATTATATTTTTGAGGTTAAGTTTTTTAACCTCAAAAATACCCAGTGGCCAAAATACCTATTTTTTTTTTATTTTTATATTTAATGTTACCATATTATATAATTTTTTAATTTTTTTATAGAATAATCATACAAACATCAATATTATTTTATATAACTATATTATCTAAAAAATAAAATATTAAAATATTAAAAACATATAAACATTTTATATACATAGTATATATATTATACATAGTATATATATAGTATATATATATTATAACATAGTATTTCTTTCCTTAAATACATAATAATAACTAAAAATTATTTACTAACTTAATTATAATATATAACGTAATTTAAAATGTAAAAGATGTTTAATAATATGAAAAGTATGAAAAAATAATATGAAATAATGTGTGATTTTATAATAAACTTGATTTTGACTTTTTAATAAATTGTGATAATTTTTGTTAATAAACAATTTTAAGTAAGATAAATATTAATTTATTTATAATAATAATATAAATTTATTTTTATTGAGCAAATTTGAAAATAAGTTCTTGCAGAAAATTTTACAAATATCATTATATCAAATGTAACAAATGAACAAGCACTTATTATAAATTTTGTTTTAATATCTTTTAATTTTATTGTCTGATTTATTAAGTTATTTATTCCAAATAAAATTTACAAATTAAGACTATGACACATCTCACAAAGGGATCCTTTAATTATTAATCCGTCCCTGCTGTGTATTACTAGGCAATTTTGCAACATTGTTACATCATTCAACAACAATTCGGAGAACACATTGATTACAGTCTACTCTCAAAATTAGTTATGAAATTATATTATGTTGTAGATATAAATAAACACATTTATTCAACACATTTTCCTTACTGAATTGGTGAAACAACAGTGTTTTGCCGTCAACAAATTGCGTTACATCAGAAATACCTTTTTACAGTAAAGATTCCTAATTCTACTGTAAATTCTTAATTAGCAATTTTAACCTTACGCAAATATATAAACTCATATTACTTAAATAAACTTCAGTTTTCGCAACATACCAATTTACATCTAGCTGCTGTACTTACATTAGTTGATGCATCGAAGTTGCAACCGAGCTCCAAACAATTTGGCATACATTGACGGATACGTTTTATAGTGAAACATGTAGATTTTCTGAGAAAAGATGATATGCATTCAGGCAAGGATCACCGAAGACTTATTAATTCGAGTTGAACTGAAATCTCAGATTTTCGATAATTGAGGTTTTTGAGGAGAGTTTTGCTGAGCGTGTTGTTATGGACGAGCTCACTTCAACATGTGGTTAGAGATAGCAACTAGTGCTCCAAATAGGATTTCGACCTTGTATCAGTATCTTTTCATTGTAGTTTTATACCTTTTCAACAAGTCGACTATTACGCATGTAATTAATGTAGCGTAACATTTATTAACGTGTTTGTATAAAAATCAGATGAAGCCAAAAAGACCTTATCTGTTATTTGGGCATCATATTGGTCACAATTGGCATGCTACTTTCCATGTGTTTTGACAAAAACATGGAACAACAGACACTTGGATACTTTGGATACTGATTTAGTCATTTTACACAAATAATTGTTCAGTCTAATCTCGTTAAAGAAATCTCTTAAATAACTTGCAGGAAGATCGTGCAAGAATGATATAACATAAAATCAGGGTACCCAATTTTGTTTAAGGTTTCAACACGAAATCAATATATCTGCGTAGATATATTTTACGACACTCGCACTGTGAATATCTGTTGCAACAGTGGCTTGCTGTTCGCTCGAAGCATAATTGTAATTATAATTTATAACATTTCTTCAAATCACAGTATCGCTACAAAGAAAATCGCGTGCTGAATTTGCTTAATATAGAACCAAATTTTCAGCATTTGATGCAACCAAATGTGAGATACAAATCTCACTTAAGACGAACGATATTCATCTATGAATTTACACGATCGCTCAAGTTTAATATAATTTGGAATGTTGTATGACAATATGGTCTAATATAATCAGATAGTTCATTAGAAAAAATTTATTAAATAAACATTTATAAATGTTAACATTGTTAATAACATTAGTGTAACTACGATGTTAATGATGATATGAGGTATCCAAAGCTAATTTTAATACGATGATCGCCTTTAAGAAACAAAATTTAAATATTAATGAACCTTGTCTTAAATAACAAGATGAGTAACAACAGTCAACGTGTAGTTTGTAGCAGCATACATGTGTAACAGACTGTACAATACTAAATTAATCTAAACCTCTTGGATTTCCTGGATGAAATAAGGACTAGAATCTATATCATATATGTTTACGATATATAATAATTTATTAAATATAATTTATATCAAGTAGATTCTAGGTAACCGAAAAAATTCTATTACATGTAAATGTCATCAATAAATCTTTATCGGTATCTGAAAATTCACAGGCTAGTTCTACTTGCATTTTGAAAAATTTTAAAGCTTTAAAGCAGCTCGTATTTATTTTATATTCGTGCGTATCTTCTGTTTATTTTAAAGTATGACCTCGCGAAAGTTGTTAAATTTCTAAATTAACGTATAAAATATTGTTCCACGTCGTATTACATTAGGTCGATTTTGTCTCTATAACAGTTGGTAAACAAGGTCATCAAAGTTACATAACACCACTATGTGTGATTTAATTGTTTCTTTATAAAGTTGTGTAGTAATGAGCATTTATTTCCGGTAGTATGTGTATAAAAACCTGAAACCTGCTTATTCATACAAGTCTTCTTCTAAAAAAAGGAAAATGTATGTTCTTATTATCATTTTACTGTTTGCTACTTGTGATTTATGTACATCAATTGAAATTTATAACAAAGGTACATTGAAATTTATAATAAAAATATAGTTTGTTAACATCATTTTAGTGACAAAATCTTGCATCGTTTTTTCTTACCAAAGAAATGAAATTTTTAGTGCTTAAATATTTGCAAAAGATCTCTTTGTGTACTTTTGAATTATTACAGAAACTAATAGATTACAGAAAGATTTCCGAAATGGTGGATTTATTCAAGGCATACGAGACTGGTTTTATAATTTGGGGAACCAATTTCACGAACGATTATTTGGACTAACAACTACGCCACCACCTCCTTTAACAATTGAAATATCAAACTTGGACAAATTTGAATTACAAAATATCATCAAAAATCATGAATGGCATCTATTGAATTTATGTAAATAAGGATTACTATTTGACACTAAGTATAAAAATTATTATTATTTGATACCAAGCATAAAAATTTGCGTAATTATTAAAATAAAAATGATAGTAAAAGTAAATAATCGATTAATCGAGACTAAGCATAAATTATCTTGAATATGTTAGCATTAACTAAACAAATAATCAGCAATCGTTAATATTTTATATTAATATTATTTATTATTATTATTTATTATTTTACGTTAATATTATTATATTCGTTACAGTTTCATTTATACTAATTTTTGTAAATTGTAGCTATATTGTCTTTCGATCCTAATCAAGACTGGGGATTTCACGTTGGTGATTGGTATTTTATTCAGAAGGGATTTAATCTAAACGGATTTGAAGAGAATTCTGACAAATTAAATTTCCACACATTAAGTACTGCTTCGCCAAAAGATTCAATTGAAACAGAAACTGAACAAACTTTGGATGTTATGAAGGATCCAGAAACAACGGAATCTTCACAAACGATCTCATCTGTGGGAACACCTACGACGCATTTCATTAATTCGCAGACAACACCAACCATTGAACAGATTGGTTCTTCTAAAAACTTTTTACCAAAAGTTGATAAATCATTGCAGGAGAATGAAACCGAAAACGATTTTGTTCATAAAGGATCTGTGGAAGTTCTTATGGGATAACAGAAAGTTTTATGCTTGACATATAACATTTTGTAATTCCTTTAAACCTTCCACTTTTAATGAATGGAACATTTCTAATTTTTATACGAAAATAAATATTCCTGTTAACAAAATATGTGTTTATAAATTGTAGAGGACATTAACCAAGTAGCGCTAAAAAACCTAATGCGAAGGACGCATCCCTGGGCAATATCGTTAAAATAATTGTAAAAGCTACTTTATGGGACTGACTTTTATCTAACCGCACAAAGAGAATTTTATATAAGGCTGAAACTACATAAAATCTTACTCTCTTGTCTATTGGCTTACTTGTTTACTTATCGCCCACCCCTCCCCATTTATCTCTTCTCATCCATCATTACCATTCTCACCGCGTATCCCAAATAAATCAAACAGTTTTCTCAATACTTATGGATAACTGACATTAACAATAAGATACAATAAAAAAAGGCACTGAAATGAATTTTTTTTCATCAAGAAGAATACACCTTTATTCTGTAAAACTTATTATAACTATCCACGATAATAAATGATTATAATAATTTTTATGTCAATGTTGAACAGATCGTAGTCTTCATGATGTCTTTCGGTTTTACTGTAATAAAAAAAAAAAAAAACGAAGATATCAGTAAAATATTCAATTTCAATGTTAGTCACGTTACATTTCACACAAGCAAAAAAAAAGTTCTACTTTTATTAAAAACTCAAAACAAAATAAAAATAAATATATAATATAAAAGTACATGTATAATGTTCTAATCCTACTTGATCCTCTTTTATTTTTTAAAAGATTATTAATATAAGCACTACTTTAAATACCACTAATGACAAAATATGAGTGCAGAAAATTTTGTCAGATGTTCTAAATTTTGAAAGAAAGAGTTAACACGAACTTTGATTATTTCAAAATCATTATATATGAATGAGTGACATATTGATAAAAAATCAAATGTAATACACAAAAAGAAAACGTTTTGTTATATAAGACATAATACAATGCAATATGCTACAGGAGTTAAAGTACATTTTATGTGTGTACAGTATTATATGAAAAAGGCTACAAAACATATTCAACCAAATCTTGAAAGGAAAAAATTAGAAAACATAGAAAAGAAAACTGAAACCAAGAAGTTTACATGCTGACCATATATGAGCATCATAATTAAGTTTCCTCTTGAGGCTTGTAGTACAAATGATTACAGCATTTGACTACTTCCTTCCCTAGAATGTCAATAAAAAGCGTATACCACTGAATAGCATGCAAAATTTGTTTCTTATAAATATAACTGAATTATACATATTATATAATATGTTATATTTATATTTTGCACAAATAACTATAGAAAATTTGTTACATTCAAATTATTTAAGAAATTATACTAGTAATTCACATATTTATAATAATCTATTTTCACAACATGAAAATAATATAAAATTTTTTAATTTGGTGTTCAAAATATTAAACAATTAGGAATTATACAATTAAATCAATATAAAATTTAAAAACCAGATATGTGTTAATATTACTAATATGTATAATTCTTTTTTATGTCATTGATTAGATATCTATACATCTTCAAATGCTCAGTGCAAATATCATAAATTCATATAAATTATGCTATGTTTTTGGAAAAGATTTATATTAATTACAAAATATGAAAAAAATGAAAAAATATGAAAAAAAGATAATGTAAATTATAATGAAACAAATATAAAATTTTAATTTAAATTCACTAATATTAATTTTAAATATAATTTTAAAAAACATTTAATCTTCTGTTTCTTATATTGTCAATGCATAAAATTTGCTGATGAATATTTCATTGAAATTTAATATTTTAAATTAAATTTATCATAAATTTATTTACACCGAAATAAGAACATATGTATTTATTAAATATTCTTAGAAATTTAAAACTTATATGAAGTTAAAAGCAAGTAATACCTATATAAAAATCATTACCAAATAAATATATATTACCATCATCAAATTACTTTATATTATCAAAAGTATTAATAAACCATTTACTTATTAATTAATGTAAAGAATAGATAAAATATTATCTTACCTTTTTAGATGCAGCTCCCACTTTACTCTTCTTTGTACCCCTAACTTTTTTCATTCTGTTTTTACGTTCTTTTCTTTGTTTTCTTGTCTGTTTTTGTTTCTCAAATAGTCCATGCCTAGCTAACCTGTATTTAGGTTCAAATTTTTTTGCAAAATCTAATGTATCATAGATCAGTGCAAATCCAGTTGATTTACCACCACCAAAATTAGTCTGAAAACCAAACACGAAAACTACATCTGGTGTAACTTTGTACATTTTTGCTAATTTTTCACGTATTTCTGTTTTTCGGACTGATGGATGACCTGGATGAAATACATCCACAACCTATGAAAAAATATTATTTTACGAATATAAAATAATAGATGAATGTAATATTCAATTTGAAACAAATAATAAATGTTTATATAAATACATACCATTTGTTTTCGACATAGTAGTCGATTACTCATAAACTTTCTAGTCCTAATTGTAACGGCACCTTCCATCTGTAATACAACATTGAGGTTATGTTTTTTGTATTGTTTTCATTACAATTACACTATTTTCCAAAAAAAGTTTCATATCACAATTTTATTTTTATAATTGTACAAAACACTTATATTTACATTTCATTTTTCACTATTAACATTAAGATTGTTAAGATAGCATTAAGATAGTTAAGAAACTCACGCTAATAATAATATAAACATTAAATATTAATAGAGATTGTATTGATAAATTATATTTAGAAGAAAAGAATAATTATAAATCACTGATAATATTTTAAGCAAATATCTCAAACTTTTTTCAACGATTGATCAATAGTTTCAGGATACAAAACATACCATTTTGCTCAATTATCGTGCCGCTAGCAAAAGGACTGTTACGGAAGCATGCAGCGCGATCTATTGTCAAACATATTCTTTCGTAATTATTCTACACAACTATATAAAATTTTTGTATTTTTTTTCTTCTTTATATTAATCAAATAATTGAAGAGGAAATTAGTTATTTAAAAAATTACATAATAATCTTAATTATTTACAATAATACAAAGCTATTAAAACTTAGAATGTAATAATAATGTAACAATGTTATTCTTTGTTAGATATTTTAAATATCTACATAGTATATAGTGTATATATATATATTTACTTATTACAATGCCTGGAATTTAAAAAAAAAAATAAGACGTATTATTGTATTATTTTAAAATTACTAACGATATTATTGAGTAAGAAAGAGTATAAAAATGAAGATTTTTTGTATATTCGTATTTTGTATACTATTATAAAGGAAATAAAAATAATTTTCCAAGTAAAACTATTGAGAAAAATTTTTTTTATTTTATTACAATTTAAAATCATATAAAAATTGTAACTTGTAAAACATTAACTTATAAAATTCTTTTCGACACAAAGACCATGTAATTATTGTGGTCACTGTGTTATCGACAAAGTAAAACACGTGTGAAATTCTTAGGAAGACCGTAATTGTATTTGGCGCTGACTACAATTCTCCGACTATCTGATTGGTTCAGTTTCGGGTAACGTCCATTACTCTTCTAGGAAGTTTCGAGAACGGACACGAGCAGTAATATTGGTTCTATGCGCTTACAACAGTTCGTTGAATGCTATTACGTGGAGTGAGTTAAGCGTTAACGGCACACGGATATTTTCCACGAGTGGCTCTCTTTCTGCTGATACAGGTAAGACTGGATGCGGATAATTGTGAAGTTTAGAATATTTTAGAAAATATGCGCAGACGAGTGGAATTTTCATCGTCGAATCGCGCGATCGATTATACGAGCTCGTGAATATTTCTCGGGATAGGAATTTGCATAACGCTAAGGTGTAGAATTAGTTTGTGCTACAACATTTGAAGATATTACAGAAATATCGATGGAATTTTCTTGAATATTTTAGCGATTCACAAATCCAAAGCGGACGTTCGAAGGTTGAATAATAGTTGTTTGCCTATCCGAGCATATTGTATATTACGAAATGCGCGTCAATGAGTTTTATCATAGTACAAGTTGTGCTCGTCCATGACTCGCACTTTACGTAGAAAAATGGTGGATGTTCCTATTGCTTTGTCTCGTGTCAATACCAAACGTGGTTGAAGTTGCAGAGTATATCTGTCACTCAGACGTAATAAGTTACTATTACATGTCCGATTTCACTTCTGTTTCTTAAATTGGAAGCCAACGCTAACCGTTTAAGTGGGAAAATCGTTATTTTGGCAATTTTTTTTATTTTCGTTACTTAATTTTTTGCCGGCAGTACAAACCTTTAGTATATGTATATATGTTTAATATATATATATGTGTATACACATGCGATAGCAGAAGAATCTAGAAAATGTGGTGTTCTTTGTTCAAGATACAACAAACACTGCATTGGATTAAAGCGGGGTTTTTCATTTTTTCTTTTATGTCAATTAATTATATTTTATCATCTTAAAATATCATTTGGTCGCCATTTTGAAACGAAACACGCACATGGATGCAATTTGCTGGACTTCTCTACGAGTGTAGAATTAATACACTTTGAAAATTTGTAAGATTTTTTTTCAATTTAAAAAGTCAGTTACGAAGGGCTCTCATATTTTAAATAATATTTCAATTATTTGGTACAAGTACTTCTGATTATGTTATATCGATATTAAAGTTCAAGGTCATTATGTATAACTTTCATGTGGGTATAAATATTAGTAATATTTTAGTATTTTAAAAATATAAATTACAGATAGTTTAATGAGGCCTGTCTGAAAGACAATAAAGCAATATAAAGCTTCTTTTCATCAAGTTTTATTGAATGAAACATAATGAATTTTAATTTGAAGCATAATGAATTTTAATTCAGATATATAACACTGTATGATTGATAGATTTATGACACATGCATCCTAAATTGGGTAATAATTAAATATCTCATTTCAACATTGGATTCTTCCTGTTTAGCCCCTTTCTTTAAGTATATTTCTTACATGTATTAACGTAATATTTCACAAAATTTATCTGTTTAATAAATTATATTTTTTATGTACGAAATTGTGTACATATGTATTGATATGAAAAGAAGATGATATGACAGTCAATTAAGCATTTATATTCAAGTTAATAACATTTTTTTTTTGAGACTTTAATTATCATTTTCTTGTGTAATAAATTATTTTATAAGAATTATTTTATTAGTGTATGTAATATCAGAATAACCAGGCTCAAATATATATTTAAATACGATCAATACAATTTCTGTAATAAAATTTATGATAATAATAAAAGGTATTTGACATTAACTTTATAAAAAGTATTTATAAATACTTTTTATGAAAGATTTCAATAATTGTAAGAAAAAAACTAAGGTCTATCATTTCGACAAGTTTGATAGTTTAGTGTTATATTAAATATACGAGGTTCATTAAAATTTATAATTTCAATAATGTTTTTACTTTGTTTTACTTTTAGCAGAGACAATACTATTGTAATTGAGGATCATTAGAAAACAAATTAATAAAAATGGTGAAAGAGACTACATTTTATGATGTTTTGGGTGTGAAACCTGGATGTACACAAGATGATTTAAAAAAGGCTTACAGAAAACTTGCTTTGAAATATCATCCTGATAAAAATCCCAATGAAGGAGAAAAAGTTAGTATTTTTAATTTGAAAGTGTGTTAAAGATTTTGTTACGAAATAAAGTTAGATTATTCACTACTTTCACATTATAGTTCAAACAAATCTCACAAGCATATGAAGTATTATCGAATCCTGAAAAGAAGAGAATTTATGATCAAGGTGGAGAGCAAGCTTTGAAAGAAGGTGGCGGAGGTGGAAATGTATTTTCTTCACCTTTGGATATCTTTGATATGTTCTTTGGTGGAGGCTTTGGCGGGAGAAGTGGTCGCAGGAGAGAACGAAGAGGGCAGGATGTCATACATCAGTTATCTGTTTCATTGGAGGAATTATACAAAGGAACTGTCCGTAAATTAGCTTTACAAAAGAATGTCATTTGTGATAAGTGCGAAGGTAATCTTTCATATAGCGATATTTATGAAAGGCTTTGCATATTTGAAACAAAACGTTGAAGTAAAACATAAAAATTTGTTTCTTCAGGTATTGGTGGGAAAAAAGGTTCGGTGGAACAATGTACAACGTGTCATGGTTCTGGTATGCAGGTTCAAATACAACAGCTAGGACCTGGAATGTTACAACATCTGCAAAGTATATGTGTAGACTGTAAAGGTCAAGGAGATCGAATTAATCCACGTGATCGTTGTAAACAATGCGGCGGCAGAAAAACCATTAGAGATAGGAAGATTTTAGAAGTTCACGTTGACCCAGGTATGGTACACAACCAGAAGATAGTTTTTACCGGAGAAGGTGATCAGGAACCAGATTACGAGCCAGGAGATATCGTTATTCTGCTGGAAGAGAAGGAACATGAGGTTTTCAAGTTGGTATTTTATATAATATTTGTGTTGTATATAATAGTATTACATGGCATATATATCATTACGCTATTAATTATATTATTTTAGGCGTTCGCGTCATGATTTAATCATGAGAATGCAGTTGGAGCTAGTAGAAGCTCTCTGTGGATTCCAGAAAGTTATTCGTACTTTGGATGGAAGAGATTTAGTAATAACTTCATATCCTGGAACTGTTGTGAAACACGGAGATTTGAAGTGTATTCTAAATGAAGGAATGCCAATTTACAAAGATCCGTTTACGCACGGCAGGCTTATAATTCAATTTGTAGTGAATTTCCCGAAATCTGTGGACCCTTCTGTCATTCCAACACTTGAACAATGTCTACCACCAAGAGAAGAGGTTATAATTCCAGAGGGAGCAGAAGATTGTTCTCTTATGGACTTGGATCCAGAACAAGAAGTGAGACGAAGAGAGCAACGACAAGCGTATGAGGAAGACGAAGGAGGTTCTTCAGGAGTCCAATGTGCCACAAATTAATTCAATTACATCAATCTCACAATAAATATGGTCATTCTTTCATTTTAAACTTTTGTCCCATTCGCTCGATTCTGAATCATATGTAATAACAAAAGAACGAAAAGATGCGGACACGTAACGAAGTTCTTCAGATGACAAGAACCTGAGGAAAAATGTTTGCACGACTATGAAATGCTACATCTGCAGAATCACTATTGATTCTAGTATAAAGATCACCCACAAATACTAAACTGTATAGGAGACCTTTAACGCTGTTGATGGTACATTTATTATCACTTCTGAATTAAATTATAAATTCTGGTGAAAACTGCTAATAAGCTGGTTAAAATTAGTTTAAAATGTTTGCTGTAGAAAAGTATTTAAAGAGATGTACTTATCATTAAGTACGTTACATAATGTTACATTAGATGTTGAGTAAATTCAGCTCTTAATCTAATAACTGTAGATTAAGAAAAGCTGAATTTACTCAATTACTAATGTAACGTTGTGTAACGTGATTAATGAGAACAATTCGTAATCAATTGTATCGTGTAATGTTGAACATTCTGATTATTTTCTGCTATTTATGAATTTTTTTTTAACTGACAGTTTTCAACACTCATCGATACGCGCGTACCGAATGTTAGAAATAAAATTAGACGAAATTAGTACCTTACCTCTATTCACATACTCCTTAAAATTGTTTAAATTATTAGTGTTTGATTACGACACAAGCTTATGAAATTTAAATCGATGTTTACATTAGTGATATAACAATCATAAAAATAGTGTGAGATATTGGTAAACGCATTCTATTATAACAGAAATAAAGTGTAATCTCGATCTTTACAGACTTTAAAGTTACTTTCTCTTTTATTTTTTCAGCGATTAATTTCATTTATAGAGTCTCGCGTAGTGACATATGACTAAAATATTTTATGTCTATTAAAGATATAATTCGTGACAAAAAAGATGTG